AGTTAGGAGAAGCACGACTGTTAGAAACGGCTTTCCGATGTGGTCTAGTTCTAGATGTTCCTCTGGTTAGTTAGTTTTCAGGCCTAGTTGGAGGGAAAAGAACCCTCTGCAGAAATATTCTCCATATCATCTAGGCCTGTCCTGACTGCAGTGGATCTCTTCTGTGTTTTTTGAATCTCATGTTGGATCGAGCCTCTACAGCTATCAGGAGATGCTGATGAGATCTACAGCGACCAAACCAGAGCAGCAGCATCTGAGCTGCTGACCTTTACAAAGGGTGAGAGCATGTTCAGTAAGGAGCAACAATAATCCATCATTTCAATGAAAATTCAACATTTCAGGTGGCCTCACTTAGTTTTTCATGTATGTTCAGACACTGTGGACGTCAAAAAGCAAAACTCCTGTGAGGAACCGGGACATCCAGGATGGTGAGGTGCTTTCCAGTCCCCACCTGAGGACGGCACAGAGAAAGACTGGAACAGGAAACACACGGAGTAAGACTTTATTAACACGACAAACCGACAACTCAAGCTTCCCAGGCCTGATTAAAAGCTAACAGTCACTGAAACACAGGAAGTGCAAGATTATGATGAAAACAACATCCTGCCCCAGATTTCAACTTGGTGTGGAGGAAATTCTGTCGATTAATTTGTCTTATTTTTACAGGGAAAGCAGGTTGAACAGCTAGCAGTGTTCTAGCAGTCGGATCACATTGGAACAGAATCCATCCACACATGTTTGGAGGTATGTTGGTTTGACTAGAGAAACATCACATGCAGATAGGTTAAGACTCTGAGGATGCTTTGCTTTCATTTATGAAGGAGCTGAAGAAGAGGACGGAGCACACAGTCCACTAAGGAGGAGAAACATGGCTCCTCTATTTGTCTCTCCAACATTCTGGAGTCTAAAAAACGTTGACGACCTCGCAGCTAAACCATCAGTCTGCTCCACCCAGGAGAAGAAGGTAACAAACCTTTATTGCTTCCAGATGTTCATCAGTATTAGTGAAGATACTAAAAAAAATATGCAGATTTTTTTAACACTAAAAAATTAAACTGAAAAATAAGTATTGAAAATGTAATCACGTTGAAATAGTAATGTGAATTTTTAGCTTGAAGAGAAAATAAATGAAATTTCAACTGAGTAGAAATAATGACAATGATTTTTTTTAGGTCAAAAATGTGTTCTGAATATATTTTAACACTGAAACAGTAAGTACAAACATACAACATTTAAATTCCAGTAGCATTTTTAATTCAAATCCCAGCGACACAGATTTACTTCCATAGACTGTAGACTCCAACAAATGCAGCATTTTCAGGCATTTTCTCCAAGCATTGTTTACGGTTATCACTTCTGTTCACTTTAGGTTCTCCCTGTGTGTTTCCCTCTTCTATTGGTTAAAGTTACACCTCTCCCAGTGTTTATGTGTTTAAATTTCACATACTATCGTGTTCGTTCACTAACTCCTGTTTTTTTTTTCCAGATAAGGTCATCTGCTCCTTGGACCGGTGTCTATGTGATTGGCTGTGCTTTCTTGGATTGAATTCTGTGAATGCCATGATAAACTGTATTTATCTTTACCATATTGTAAATAGGATCTAACCGGATGTTTGTGTTTAGATTTTATTCTGTGTTTTTTTTTTTATTTCTTTAAATGTTTTATTAAAAATGCATTTCTTTCCATTAAAAACCTTCCCGGGGCCCTGTGTTTAAATTGGGTTAAAAAACTTGTTTTCCCGGGGCAGGGGCCCCCTTTCCCCCCCATACAAAGGTTAATTCAAATGGGGGGGCTTTCATTTTTTGGGGGGGGAATTAAATTTTGATTTAAATTCTTCCATAGGGCAAATTTTTTTAAAAATTTTTTTTTAACTTTTTTTTTTAAAACCCCCAAATATCTTCTCTTTTTACTTATGAAAGGTTTTAAGCTCCATGCCACAAAAATTTTTAAAAATTTTTCCCCTTCCTAAATTTTCGGTTGGGGGTTTTGATGAAATGGGGGGGTTTTGGCCAGGGTTCGAAGGGATATGAGGGGGAAAATTTTTTGGGTATTAATTATATCTCCCGGGAGGGTAACTAGGCGGCGTTTCCAAACTTTAAAACAACAATTTGGGGAACAAGTATTTTCATCCTGCCCCCCCCCGGGAAAGCGTGTTTTTTCGGGGGTTTTTTTTGACTGCAAGGAGCAAGGGAAAAAAAACACAAAAGGGGGCCCCGGGGCCCATCTTTTTTTTTTTTTTAAATTTTTTTTTTTTTCATCACCATTTTTTTTGGTTTATGGTTTTCCCCCGTGCGCTCCTTTTTTTAAAAGCCAAAAAATGATTTACAAACTGCCCCCCCACCCAAAATTAATGTTTTTTTTAAAATTTTTTAAAAATTTCTTGGGGGAAAATTTTTGTTTTTTAAATAAAGCTTTTTTTTGGGGGCCCAACACTTTTAAAAACCAACCTTCTTCGTCGTTTTCCCAAAAAGAAATGCAGGGCCGGGAAAGGGGGGGGGGGGCTTTAAATTTTCCCCCTTTTTTTAAAAAAAAAAAAAATTTATATAATTAAAAAATTTTAAAATTATATATTTTTTTAAATTATTAAACTATTTTTTTTTTTTTTTTTTTAAAGGGTTTTTTTTTGGGAAATAAAAAAATTTAAAGATTTAGGATAACATGGGAAAAAAGAATTTTAATTCCCTTTAAAAACCCTTTTTAAAAAAAGGACCCTTGAAAAATTTTTAACCAAAAAAATTTAAAAATTTTAAACCAAAATAAATGGGTTTTTATTTTAAAATATTTTAAAAATTTTTAAAAAATTTATTTTTTTTTAAACAAAACTCACGCCCCAGGAAAAAAAACGGGGCACAAAATGTTAAGGTCTACCCCTTGCCCCCCCCCCGGGGTTCTCAAAACTTTTTCCCCCATTTTCCATGGTAAGGACTTGCCGTGTTTTTTTTGGGTTTTTCCCCGGGATTTTGTTTCGAAAAAGACGGGAATTTAAACACCTGACGAATGACCTTACAAGGGGGAACCAGTCCTACACCATTTGAAAAAAAAAATTTTCCCCCGAAATCCCCTCAAAAGTCCCCCCTCCTAAACTTCTAAACCAACCACCGCCCCCCAGACCCCCCCCCCGGGCCCCCCCCCCCCAAACCCAAAAAATTACTGTTTCCCCCCCCTCTTAACACTGAAGAAAAACTTATTTGGAAAACAAAATGTTTTCTTTTCCCCCCTTAATAACCATTTTATTTTTAAAATAAAAAAAAAAAAAAATTTGGGAATTTGGGGGCCCCTAAAATTTCCAAAATTAAAATATCGGGGGATTAGATTTTAAAACATTTAAATTTAAATTTTTTTGTAAAATCGCTTTTAACTTCCAAAATAAATAAACATTCAATTTTCACAACCAAAAAATTCCAATAAATTTTAAGTTATAGGAATACAATTTTTAAAAAATTTTTTTTAAAAATTAAACGTTTTTAAAAAGGGCATTAAACAAGACCCCAAAAAAAATTTTTAATCAAAAGGTCTTTTTTTAGAATAACAAAATTAAAAAAAAATTTTAAAAAACCAATTTGTAATTTTAAAAAAAATTAAAATTTTTACAAAACGAAATAAACAATAATTTGTCCTCCAAATTTATATAAGGGTTTTTACCCCACCTCCCCGACAAAAAAAAATTTTAAGAAAATTTAAAAATTTCAACAATGGGCATCTTAAAACGGGGAAACCCCCCAAAAACCCCCCTTCGGGGATTTTTAGTGGTTTTGGGTAACTCTTTTTTTATTATTTTTCCCCCCAAAAAAACCCCCCCTTTTCCCCACCGTCCAATTTCCCCCCGGGGAACAAAAAGTGAAAAAGGACTGAAAACCAAAGAAAGCACCTGCCCCGAGGGGGAATCACTTTTCCCTTTCCCCCTTTTAAAAACGTCCATCTTTGAAAAAATTTCCCCCAGACAAAAAATTTTAAAAAAAAGCAAAAAATTGAAAAAATTTTTTTTTAAACCCCAAATAAAAATGAAATTTTTCTACTTGAAAAAAGAAAAAAGGGGGGAATTTGGGGAAAAAAAAAAAAAAAAAAAACCCAAACCCCCCTAAAAAATTTTTTTCCCCCCCCCCCAAAAAGCAACCCCAGCCAAAAAAAAAAAAAAAATTTTTTTTTAACACACACCAAAAAACAAAAAAAAAAACACAAAACCAAAAACCTTTTTTTTTTTAAAAAACCTTTTTTTTTTTTTTAAAAAAAAAAGCAAAAAAAAAAAAAAGGGGAAACAAAGCAAAAATTTTTAAAAACTTTTTGGCCCCCAAAAATTTTGGGGGGAAAGCAGAATTTCGGGGGGTTTTCCCCCAAAAAAATTTCGGGAAAAACAAACAAAAACCCTCAAAAAAAAAAAACCCTCCGACCGTTTTTTTAAAACGGAACGGGGGCTTCCCCCGACCAATTTTCCCAATTTTTTCGCCCCCCCCCCTTTTTTAAACGTTTTCCAAATTTTTTTTTTCAATCGCCTCCCCCCCTCAAAACACAAACAAGAAAAAAACCGAAAAACCCCCCCCCAAAATTTTCTTGACTTCCCCGGGGGGGGCCCTTTTTTTTGCCTTCCGCCACCACCAGGCCACGGGGGCCCCAAAACCCCCCCCCCCGGTCAAAAAACCCCGACCCCCCAAAAATTTTTCCCCCCCCGGGAAAAACCAAACGCCCAAAGGGCCCCCTCCCTCCCCCCCTCTAAAAAACCTCCTTTTAAAAAAAAAAAATTTTAACCCTTTTAAATTTTATTCCCTTTAATTCCTGTTCATTTTCCCCTTTTCTATTCCCCGCCCCCCCTTTTAAAATTTTTTTCCCAACCCCCCCCTTTTTTTAAAAACGAAATTTTTTTTTCTAAATTTTTTTATTTAAACAATCTCCCAAAAAAAAAAAAACAAAAAAACCCAAAAAATTCTTTTTAAATTCCCCCCCCAAATCAAAAAAAAAGGGTGAAAAAAAACCCCCCCTTTTAAAAGAACTAAACCCAAAACAAAAAGCCCCCTTTTTTCAACAATTTAAAAATTTGTTTTTCCCTTAATTCCCCCCCCCCCCCCCCCGGGGGAAAAAAAATATCAGGATCACCCCTTGGTTTCCCCCAAAGGACTTTTCCCCCCCCAGCACTTTTTTAAAAAAACGCTAAAAAAAACCACTTTTTACCACCCCCTTTTCCGCCTTCCCTCCCCAAATCCCCCCCTTCCCTCCCCCCCAAAACCCCTTCCGTTGCATAACCCAAAATTTACCCCCTCCAACCAAAACCACCCCATTACACAATTAACCAAAAAAACCCCCCCAAAAAAAAAACTAAAAACAAAAAACCCCCAAAAACACCAAAAGCACCACTTTAACCAGCACCTAAAAAAAAAAAACCTTGGGCCTTAATGGCATGAAGAGAGTGATAGCAGGGTGACGGCCCTGTTTGTTTGGTTTTAAAGTGGGGGAAACCCAAAGTTAGTTTCTCAGGGACTCATCTGATGCTTCCTTACCCTTAGTAGGTTACAGCAGTGTAAGGTTTGCTACTTTTTTTTCTTTTTAATTTATTTGAATTGCTTTAAACAGCGTTTAAATTTCTTTAAAAAAAAATTAAAACTTGCAAATTTAGGCAAGGCTTTAAAGTTAAAATCCCTTTTGGGAAAGATAAAGTAAAGAAGATCCTGCAATTTATGGGAAATAAAGATAAAATCCGCAAGATCAGTAATATTCAATTAATTATTGCTACTTCCCATGTAAATATCTTTTTTGGAGGGTGTTTTTTTTAGCACCCATTCTCTCATTTTATCCAAATACAATTTAAAAATTGAATCACGGCATTTTTATCTTATGGGTTTAGATTTTCTCAAGTACAACTTTAATGCAACTTTCCTGTCTTAAAAAGGGAGAACTCTTCTAGTCTAAAAAAAAATCATTTGTTGAAAAGGGGGGGCCCGTTGTTTTTAACCCCCCTTTGGGCTTTAAAAAAAAAAAAAGCCTTCTCTTTTTGGCTTTTTAACAAAATAGCCTAAAAAA